CACAGATATACATATACGTGGCATTCAAATGACCGTGGCAGTGGTACTACAAAATTGGTCCTGGCTGCCATAATCAACTGTAATCCAAGAGCAACTGGAAGAGTGCATAATTTCCATCCCTGCACATTTATGCATGCTTACATATTGATTCTTCACCACCTTTTTATGGCTGAACACAGCATATGTCCTCATACTTGTTATGGCATTTGGAGAGAATTGGAGCATATGTCCAGCTACTTCTATGAACGCAATCAACTTTCTAATTTCTGGTTTCTCATGAAAAGGGTACATTCCAAAGTGGGTTTTGATGTACCATTAAATGTCTGCATGTCAACTGAAGGAAAAGAAGATCTCTTTGTTTTTCCAAGGCTTGTGACACTGTGAATAAAGGATACTGGCTGAGTTCAGAAACTGCCAAGGCCCCCAAATGAAGGAGTCTAGGATTTGAAATCCAAAAATTGTGTTTTCCAAACAGTAAATCCTGTTCTCTATGTTTCCTTTCTTTCCATAAGTTCCAATAAAAACTAAGCTCGACTCCTTCGGCACTGGTCAGATACATGGACAGTGGCAGCTTGAGTGAAAGTCCAAGGTTTTCATGGTCATGTAGTCCTTTGGCTTCAAGCCCGCATGAGGCTGTGTGTGACCCGTGGATATCATTTCTTTTGAATCCATCGCCTACCCATTCACATGTTATTAAGATTACTTTCTCTAGATGATTCATATTTGACATTTGTTTCCAAGTAGATAACACTGCCCAAAGTCCTACACCAAGTGGGTGAACTCTAATGCCTTGTCCGTGCAATTCCATCTCCTCCACATGCGTCAGCAAATGTTGAATCCGGGAAGACCACAGGCCCCTGTTTTGTAACAGTGAGAAAGAGAGAGCTGTGGGGAATCAATTCAGACAATACATCTGAATTAACTCCCAGGGCCCTTCCACACAGCAGTATATCCCAGAATATCAAGGCAGAAAATCCCACATTATCTGAGTGTGGACTCCGATAACCCAGTCCAAAGCAGATCTTGTGGGATTTTCTGCCTTTATATTCTGGGATGTAAGGCTGTGTGGAAGGGCCCCAGTCTCAGCTCAGAGGAGGAAAAAAACAAGAGTGTTCTCAGATGCGGTGCACGCTCAATTTCCATCCACATTCTCAGTCTAAATTGCATTTTCACTCATTAATGGTAAGAATCAACAGTCATTGCCCCTGTCAGGGCATGGCAGTTGCTGGGGACGAGGCTGGATTTTGGACAAAATCCAAATGACCAGAGAATAGTTCTTTCTACTGTCCAAAAATAGATAGGTACAATATAAGTCATCTTGATACACAAGTATGTCACTAACAAAGTGCAATTGAACATGTAGACACTAGTAGAAGTGGTTATTTCCCGGAGTCTGCAGGGAGCTAAGCAGCAGGGCTGTTGACAATAGGGCAACTTGAAGGCCTCCCATTCATACGGTCACTATAAATCAAAGTTAACTTGATGGTAATTACAAAGGGTATGTACATTTTGGGGGGCCCAGTGGTGGAGTGCATTAAACTGCTGAGTTAGCCACAACTTCTGCCAACCTATCAGTTCGAAAACATGTAAGTATGAGTAGATCAATAGGTACTGCTTCAGCAGGAAGGTAACAGCGCTCCATACTGTCATGCCGATCACATGATCTTGGAGGCGTCTACAAACAATGCTGGCTCTTCGGCTTAAAAATGGAGATGAGCACCACCCCGCAAAGTTGGACACAACTAGACTTAATGTCAAGGGGAAACCTTTACCTTTACCTTATGTACATTTTATATTTCATCTATAGATATATTTCTTACTTACACTGCCATTTCAGAATCGCCATTGTAAGCAGCCCAAAGATGGAAATATTGAGAAATTCTCCATGTCTCTAAGGCTGGATCTACACTGCCCTATATCCCAGGATCTCATCCCAGATTATCTGCTTATCCCAGTTTATCTGGCAGCGTAGACTCATATAATCCCGTTCAAAGCAGATAATCTGGGATCTGATCCCGGAATATAGGGAAGTGCAGATCCAGCATTAGATACACATATGTAAACTATTATTCATGATACAACTTGATCAAACATCCATTTCCCCCATCCATTACAACCACAAGAATTTTTACCAACCGTAAGTATGAATGTAAACATTAGGTATATGTCTGCATGCACAACTTAAAAGTATGTTAGTTCTGGTTTGGTGTAAAATACGTTTGCATGAATTAGCCCTAAGAAAACTCTTGAATTTGAAACAAATCAATATGGTAAAACTTTTTAAAGTGCTGAGTCACTTACACAAAGAACAAACCACATACTTCTTGAACTCAGGCTCTTAACATTTATTTTATTTATTTATTTACTGCATTTATTGACCGCCGCTCTCAGCCCTAGGGCGACTCGCGGCGGTGCACAACATATAAAAACAGTTTACAAGAGGGCAAAACAGGAAATCAATACAACAATAATACACTATAATCTAGTTACACTAAATAATCCGCTCCGTCACATCATAGAATCATAACCAATATCGTAATCCGTATTCCGTTCCAGTTGTCAATTACCAGTTGCCGTAGCGCTCAGTTGAATGCCTTCTCAAATAGCCAGGTCTTCAGGCTCTTACGGAAGGACAGAAGGGAGGGCGCCTGTCTGATGTCAGCAGGGAGGTCGTTCCACAGCCGGGGGGCCACCACCGAGAAGGCCCTTTCTCATCATATAATTCATACTATCAATCAATCAACAGAAAGCAATGCCTACATTCTAGTATTTAGAACCTGGAGTCTTGAGATACAGGAATATTATCATTATATGCCCTTAAGTTATATTTGAGTTATGGTAACCTACAAGGGCTCCAGGAGAGCCCTTGTCATGAAATAGACTGCTCAAATCTAAGAAATTCAGCACTGTGGCTTTCTTTATTGAATACATCATTCTGTAGTGTGGTTTTCATTTTTTCCCTTTCACTTTGCCAATATAGGCAGTGTTCAAGTTACAAACAGTCAATTTAAAATTTGACTCAATAGTTAAGAACAAGGTTGGGGCAACAGGAAATGAGAGAAATCTACCCCCTAGGAAGGGAAATTCATTCCTGAAAGAGTTATCATGGGAAAAGGGGGTGTCCACTGATGCCGTACCACCAGTCCTTGTTTCCACAAGCCACATGACTGGAGTTACACTTAAAAATGTACCTGTTCCCACCTACAAACAAATTAATCTTAAGAAAAAACCTACAGAACCTATCTTGTTCATAACTTGAAGACTGTACTGTCTCCTGGTGTGTTCTTCGTGTGATAAACTTTTGTTTTATTGACAGTTCAGACTCTATTTGTTCTAGGATAAATTTGTCTTTTTAGCAGTCCACGGTCCCCACTGAACACTCTGGCAGATTTCACTTAAGCTGATTTTTACCATCAACATTTTTTCACTGCCCAACTTTTGCAACCATACACAGAAATTGGAAAGGATATGATTCTGAGTTCAATATTTAATGATGTATATTTCACTTGAAGACCTTAGTTCCTTCATAGCTGTCTTTCAGAGTCTTAGTTTTTTTCTTATCTATTCACTACAAACTCTTTTTTATTAATGAGTACCATATATACTAAAGTATAAGCTGAGTTTTTCAGCTCTTTTTTAAGGCTGAAAAAGCTCTCCTCGGCATTTACATGAGCCAAAAGTTATTTATTATTTTACTGGGTTATTATTATTATTACATTTATTATTTTACTCTATTATTTTCTATTTATTATTTTACTCTTATTATTTTCTATTTATTATTTTACTCTATTTATTATTTTCTATTTATTATTTTACTCTATTTATTATTTTCTATATATTATTTTACTCTATTATTGCTATTATTACACTTATTATTTTACTGTATTATTGGAAGGATACGTAAGTACATTTATATTGAAAGTTAGAATAATGATTTTATTAGAGTTGGACAGCCTTACCTTAAGTTACAGTTGTATGTAAATATTCAAAAACATTTAACCTACTGATGCTTCAACTGGTATCTATTTTTATTTTGAAATTTACCAGTAGCTGCTGCATTTTCCACCCTTGGCTTATACTAGAATCAACATGTTTTCCCAGTTTTCTGTGGTAAAATTAGGTGCCTTGGCTTATATTTGAGTCAGCTTATACTCAAGTCTATACAGTAAGCCAAATTACAGAAAATATTTTTAACAATTTCAATGTCTTCATCATATTGTGGGTTTTTGTTTGGCATCTTAATATTCAACTGTATTCCTACTCATAGAATCATAGAGTTGATAGAGCCCTCATGGGCCATCCAGTCCAACCCCCTGCCAAGAAGGAGAGAAATCTCATTCAAAGCACCCCCAACAGATGGCCATCCAGCCTGTTTAAGCCTCCAAAGAAGGATCCTCCACCAAACTCCGGGGCAGAGAGTTCCACTACTGAACAGCTCTCTCAGTCAGGAAGTTCTTCCTAATGTTCAGGTGGAATCTCCTTTCCTGTAGTTTGAAGCCATTGTTCTGCACCCTAGTCTCCAGGGCAGCAGAAAATAAACCTGCTCCCTCCTCCCTATGACCTCCCCTCACATATTTATACATGGCCCTCATCATACTATCTCCTCTCCGCTTTCTCTTCTTCAGGCTAAACATGCCCGGCTCTTTAAGCCGCTCCTCATAGGACTTGTTCTCTAGAGCCTTGATCGTTTTAGTCATCCTCCTCTGGACACATTCCAGCTTATCAACATTCCACTCTTTTTCTTTAATAGTTACCAATAACCAATTCCTAGTATCAGGAGCCTGAAAACACTTAAATTAAAAGGTAAAATGTAACATCTTAGGATGCCAGGTGCTGAACAGGGAAAGGTTTATATGCCTCTATTTGTTTATGCCTTTCTAATGGATGAAGAATACCCCAAACAAATTCAATCCATGTTTTGCAAATATATTTATTTCGCTGCTGCATTTTAAGAAGACTTCGTTTTTAGACTGAAATAATAGTTGGTTTTTTTTAAAAAAAAAAAAACCCCACTTCCATTTGTAAACACAGTATCACAATAAAAAGCACAGCTATGATTGACATGTAATATACTATGATTTTTTAAATCTGTACATTTTATTTCATGGCATTGTCACATAACTCTTTAAAACTCATCTGTCTGAAAGCTAAGGCCTTGCTTCTTTAAGAGATATGAAAAGAGGTAATCGGAAACCACACAATAAATATAGAACTTGCCGAGGCAATTGTCTACAATATACTGTACATTCAAGTTAAAGAGAAAAAGTTTCCATGTCAGTTACACTTGAGAGACAAGCGAACGTTTCATCTTCAACTAGTGCGAAAAGTGCTGCTTTTGCCTGAAGTATAAAAATCAAAGCTGAAGCATTTCATTGTCTGGAGATCTGTACATTCGTCACTTCAGTAAAAGAACTACATTTTTGTTTTAAGAATATACATGTATCGGAAGATCTTCTTTTACAGCCTTGACTATAAAAGAAAGAGGCGGAATAGTATAGATCCTAAAAAGCCACACATTCAGTAAAAACAACTATCACCAGCATTGATTGGATTCCACTCATCACACCCTGTTTCACTAAGTCGGAAAGTTTATAGATAAGTCTGCAAACAGAAAGAGGTTAAGAATCTAAGGCGAATGGTCTGTCCGCTCTGTGCCTAGGTTTGCTGGGAGCAACGTGTGAAAACTGTCTGCTTTTCTTTGCACAACACAGCTGGCATCACAAGTCTGTATCTTTCTCAGTTGCTCCTTTCTCATGTGGCTCAGTTTTCGGTCTTCAGTCGTTTTGTCCAGAGGGGCACTTGAACTAGAGAAAAACAAATGTATATACAAAAAATCAGCATGACTATAAACACAAACATGTGATGTAGTGAAAAAGCACTCCCCTGCACCATTGAGGAGACCCCAATGACTTAAATCAAGAAATAGTTTTCTAAGATCTACAGAGACACTCGCTGGAACACCTCAGCAAGCGAGGTTCACCAGGAGAGTGATTCCATCGAGGTTGTTTGGTGATCCAATCGAGTGTGTCCACACATGAGTTAGTTCAAGGTTCTCAAGTATATTAAAAATTTTATTCAGGAAGGGATGAAAGTACCTGTTTTCACAAACACGCTGAGTTGCCCCACAAGTATTTGAGCATTTTGGGACACTGGAGAAGTGGTTCAGTCTCTTTTGGCAAGGTCTGAAATTTGGTAGTGGAGTATCCAAATCTGAATCTGTGGAATAAGCATTGGGTCTTAGGAAATTATTGCAGCCAATGACAGAATAGAGAGGAATGGATTTAAGTGACATACTTGCTATCAGTAATAACCTAAATGTCCGCTTTGATAGTGATAATGTACTTGCCACAAGCCATGAAACTTAGGCTACCATAAGCAACTAAACTAAGCTGTCAAACCCTCTGAAAATTTCTCAAAACAGATCTTATATTCACAAAAATTCATCAGGTCAATAAACCAGCTGGTACGCTGACCAGGAGAGTCGCTATTGACCTTAAACTGGTATTGTAATATTTGCTAGATTCAGAAATTAGCAAATCCGATCACTCTGTCATGTTGCAATCATTGAAGGAAACTGCAATCAACAGATAGCAGCATAATTTCTAAATTAAATGCACACAACTGCATCAGGGTCAGTAGAGGAAGATGAGTGGATCTGCACAATATGATGGCTAGTTATCAAGAATATAAAAGCAGAATGGGGAAAATTGTGATCCTTCCATTATTTTGGACTACAATTCCCATAATCATTACCTTCTGGCTATTTTGACTAAGGTCCCTTCCACACAGCTGTATAAAATCCCACATTATCTGCTTTGTACTGGGTTATATGAAAGTGTAGACTCAGATAATCCAGTTCAAAACAGATATTGTAGTTTATCTGCCTTGATATTCTGGGTTATATGTGTGGAAGAGCCATAAGACTTCTAGGAGATGAAGACAAAAACATATGGTGAAAAATTCTTCATACTTAATTTAAAGAGTAGTTGGGAAGTTACAACTTAAACAAGATAATGGCTTTATTTATAAAAATGTATATTTTTGGACAAGAAATGATGTAATGCATGTGATTTTGATGTCTTACTTCCCAAGGAGGCACACTGAGGTTTCCCGTGATCAGAAGTCATACTTAAGAACTGTTGTTTCAGCCAAGCTCCACGGTCTTCCTCAAATGCCTTCCTCTGCACCAAAAGAAAATTAAGGACTATCACAATATGTCAACACAGGTCTCATTACTTTTCATATTTTGATATGCATACATATTTAAGAAGATGGGAAGGTATCACAAAGCTGCAGATTATTGGTGAAGCAGGTCTCAAAGTGTCCTCACATTATCCAGCTGCAAATTTTATTTACAGTATTTATATTCTGCCCTTCTCACCCCAAAGGGGTGGATCACAGAACACAAATATGGCAAACATTAAATGCTGATTATACAATGACAAGACAGACAACAAATGAAGGACTGCTTTACACTTCACACAACAGATGTATTTCTAATATGAATTGAAAATGCACATTTGTAAACATTAAATAGATATGTATTGAGAATCAGAAACTCCCTAATACATGTAAAATGTGTATTTACCGCCCTAAGGGCTGAGAAGGGCGATATACAAATATAGTAAATAATAAATAATAATATTTACAGATGCGTTCTTTTCAATATTCCAATACTTTAGAATATAGTAAACAAGGTTAAATCTTCCAGTTATTTGGTTGCTTGAAAAGTGTAAAAACAATTGTTCTCTAGCATTAAAAAATATATAACCATACCTCAAGTCCTAATCTAATAGCAGCATCTGTGAAACTTTTGCGCTCTCTCTCAAAATTCTTCTTTTGTTCTCTGAACAGTTTCCATTCTTCCTTCAGTCTCTCTTTTTCTTCCAGCAAGTAGCAGTCCTGTAGCAACATATTGGTGTCATCATCGCATGGAGAAGTTAGCTGCTGCTGCAAATAAAATGTGAAATACAAAATGAATACATACATAAAAATTCAAAAGTAATAATAATAATAAAAACTTTATTTGCATTCCACCCTATCTCCCTGAAAAAACTCATGGCAGATTCCAATCACAAAAAGACAAACATTCAATACCTAAATACAATAACTAATGCACACATAAAAGCAAAAATAACTACCCAACTAATAAAAACAAATTATAACTTACAATCTAAGATTAAAATAAAACGAAACCTATCAAATAAATTATATCAACATGAAAAAGAACAATAAGAGGCTTTAGTTCCCACAAAGTCAATCCAATGGGAAAATATATAACTCTTGACATGAGATATTAGAAAGTGGTCAGAAAACAGAAGAATCTACTTGATTGAGATGGAAGGAGTGAATCCTGAAACTGAATGAACAAAATAAGGAAGTTGTGATTTCTACTCAGTCCATTTGTACTTCCTGCAGCATAGTTTGGAAATTTTATGACTAATTCAAGTTTCCCCAATTAGTTGTCTCCCAGATAGACTACAACTCTTAATATTCCTGACCCTTTTTCAAGTTAGCTGGGGCCAATGCACATTACAATACTGTTGCTTGCAGAGTACAATTAATTTCTTCAAGTTCCAGTCTTTTGCCATGTGTAGAATGCCTTCACCCCTCTGTCCCCCAAGCATCAACAGCAATCCAAAGAGAGAACTGAGAAAAGAATGCTTAACATATGTATTCCATTTTAACACAAGGCTACTGTTTTGTCTTAATTGGTGGAATGTAAATGACAATTCTCAGCCAATCATAATGTAGCCAGGAGACATGGCATATTGTAGTTGTGAGTGAATGTGCAAGCTTGCTCCAAGACAAAAAAAAAAAGACATGTCACATACATTTACAGCAGGAACTAGACAAAAGCAGGACACAACTTTATTGGTTACAACTGCAAAAATGGCTTGGCTCTTGCATGGGTCAGGAGCTATGCATCGATCCAACCAGTCTGTTGATCAATGAGTGTGATCCTCTAGTCTGGCACTTAGGAGTGAAGGGGAGAAAACCCCATGAGTTGTCACCACCCTTGTTGGTCCCATCCATCACCAGGAGGCACTGGAGATGGCAACAAGCCTACTCCATACCAGACCCCCTCCCCCCAATTTCCCATTAGGGGATTCCCTAAACAACATCCAATATACCCTGGAAATATGCCTCTCAGATCTATTTCTCAGGGGTCAGGACCCGACCACTGACTTAACTAGCCTGCTGATCGATGAGTCTTACACTTCAGTCCGGTACTTACGGGTGAAGGAGAAGGAAAACTGAAAGTTGCCGCTGCCCTTATTACTCATCTCCCCCTATCACAAGGAGGTCCTGGAGCTGACAATAAGTTTGCCCAATATCTTACTGTCATCTCCAGGACCTCCTTGTGATAGGGGGAGATGAGTAATATAGGATTCCTATAACAAATATCTAGTGTACCTTGGAATTACTGTATACCGCTCAGATCTATTTCCAAAGTAATTTGCTTCAACAAAGGGTGGGATGCTGCTCAGGCAGAGAATGACTCAGCCTCCAACTTGCATTGGTCTAAATAGGCCAGTGCTCGACTGGGGTGAAAATCACATCTGGGACTGTCTGGGGTCAGCCAGCAAAAAGTTTAAACCATGGTTCAAACTCATTGGCTGCCCCTCAAACTGGGTTTTCAGAAGGAGCGAGAAGGTGCTGGGAGATAGCACTAAAGCCACAAGGGAGAAGACTCTCTACACTCCATCTCTCTTATCAAGTTTGGCCCATTTGGGGGAGAAACGACATTTCTTCCATGAAAGAAGAGGGTTGGTATTGAATTTCACAGTGAGATTGGGGAGCACAACTCTAGAATTCTTGTGTGGTCAAAAAACATCTCACAACTCATTCACTTTTTAACCCTAGTGCACGAATAGCCTACCTGTAAGAGCTGCTGTTGAGTTTTTATCATCTCCTTGCACTGGTGAATTTCTGAATGCAATCTTTCAACCTCCAGTTCATGGTCTTCTCTTGAGATTGTATCTTTGTTGTGAAGCGATCCAGAATGTACATGTGACACTACAAGTTTGAAAAAGTTATTTTTATATATATGAATGATGGTTGTTGACTAATAAATTCTGTTTATCTGCTATCAAGTAGTTACTCATTCAAAAACAATCCCAAACTTATTTGGTGTGACACTCTTTTCCATAGTTTTGTACTCCTTGGGTAAAGTAGAAATTAATGTTTTAAAAATAGGATGAATGTTAAGAAGTAATGTCTGAGACATTAAGTTATGAGAAACATAAGATATGGCATTCTTCGTTCTAGCACTTCTATGGCATGGTAAATCAGTTTGTGTTTTCCATTAATAATAGTTATCTATATTTGTCTAACGGATGTCATAAAGAAAATATAAAAGGGTTCATGGCGTGTTTTACGTGTAGACTAGAGTGAGTTTAACAATTGTGATATTTGAAATGAAGTACAAAGTAGGCACTGTTGAAGTCTGTTTCATAGAAAAGTATTAATGCTTTCCTGGGAAACGGAAATCAATAGTGCCAAAATCAGGATTTGGAAATCTAAAATCTTAAGATTTTAGCTTAAGAACATACCCCTGTCGATACAGGAATCATACTGTTTTCCAATGACTGTGGTTGGAAATGGGGAAGCAAAGTACTTTCTCCAGTTAAAACAAACCTAGTAGAAAAACTGGGTGATTTTGGTGTATTATAATGTTTAATAGATTATTACCTTCGTAAAAAACACCTCCCTGTTTACACTTTTACAGGAGGTAAAGCATGCCTCTGTGTTACCTTATATTAAGAATATTCACTATGGTAAATGCAATTTTCCATCCAACTGTTCAATTGTAGTAATATCACAGGTTGGAATCAGAAATAATGAAGGAACTCGAAAAATAGATTTATTATTACTAATTAAACCCATAGTTTTTAAAAGATCTGCTCTACCTGTAATTCTGTAGCCTCATAACATTATTCTAGACTTTTTCCCAAGCAATGTCAGTACTCAATCAATATGAAATTACATGTGTCACGCGTCTAACTCAACTCTCAGTTTTACCTTGGTTATCCAGGTTTTCAACATGGTTTTTCAGCATTCTCCACTGTTTCCGAATGCTGTTAGCTAGCTGTTCACGCACTGTTTCACAAGAAAGTTCCCATACATTCTCTTTATTTGCTTCTCCGGGGTCCTCTTCCATGTCTGACAGCACCTACAGGTTAAAAAGCCCTATAGCTAAAGAGTTTTGGCAAACCATAGTAATATTTCAAAACTGCTAAAACAAACTGTTACTTAACTTTGTTCATGTTAGTGCTCCTTGGTGTTAAAAGAGCAGACTGCTGGTTTATTTTTCATTTTAATATGCCATATTTCTTCAATTGTATGATGCCATTGATTGTAAGACACATTATAATTTCAATACCATCAACAGAGGGGGGGGGGAAGCTTTTTCTGTGTGGGTTTTCTTTGTGTGTGTATTCTTAATGCTAAAGTTTGATTACATTTAATCTAATTCATTTGCCATAGTGTTTTTGATCCAGAAAGGTGAGTAATAAATCTTTAATTAAATGAGTTAAATACACGAATCTGAAATAAACTGCTGAGAAAATCTTGAATGGGTTAATAACAACTTGTAAGGCAACTTGCTGCAATGCAATCCTGTTCTAAAGATGTTTTGAACACATGTGAGAGACATGCACAAACTTACTGTCCCATTGTCATCTTCTGTCTTCTCTTTTGGTTTCTGCTTCTGGGGTGGTAAGAGAGAAATGATTTCTTTCTTCATTTGCTGGAGTAGCTTTTTCAGATCAGCATTTTCCACCAGAAGCTGTTTCTGGCGCTGTTCGTAATCATTTAGGAGAGCTTTGTACATTTCTTCTTCGTTTCTGGAAGGAAAACATACAAATAACCAAACATGAAATGTACTATAGCATGCAAATACGGAAAAAAAAAAAGCTTTGTAGTGAGTGACCATTTTACCGGGCTTCAGTCTTCCCCGTTCTCCAAGCACCTCTCTTGCCATCAACTCTTCCTACATAGTTGAGAACATCCATAGCTACAACAAAGAGAGAAATTGATTTTTAAAGGATCTCTCATGCCTTCCATAATGATGCCATACTGCATAAGATAATGTCATTATTTCATCCAATTTAAAAAAGCATCGAAATGTATTGCCAAAGGCTCTCAATCAGCTAACACCTACCAACAAAGGATTCCCCCAGGCAGGAAGCAGCCAGGCTTTAAAGCTGCGAGGCTATTAAATGCTAATCAAGGTAGACAACTGCAATATTCACATCTGCCTCAAGCAGACAAGAGTTCCTTCTCCCTCCCTGGACATTCCACAGATATATAAACCCCACTTGCCTAGTTTCCAACAGACCTCACAACCTCTGGGGGTGCCTACCATAGATGTGGGTGAAACATCAGGAGAGAATGCTTCTGGAACGTGGCCATACAGCCTGGAAAACTCACAGCAACCCAGGCATTGATATGTCTGCATCTGCTGTCTTTCTTTTGATGCAACTTAAGTCAATAGTTACCATCTACTTTCCTTCCAATGCATCTCGCCAATTAGGATATTATAACAAATTCAATGGTTTAAACACTGGGCTATGGCTATGGAGATCATAGTCAACTATGGAAACCCACTGAGGGCTCTTCTACACTGCCATATAAAATCCAGATTATATGCTTTAAACTGGATTAAATGGCAGTTTAGAAGGGCCCTGAGTGGAAAGTCATATTCTCTCAACCTCAGAAAAAACCAAAGGCAATTCCTTCGGAACAAATCTTGAGAAGGAAACTTTTTGGGACTATATCAGATGAGTTTTACTCAGAGCTGTGACTCCAATAACATCACTTTTCTTTTCTTCTCCTGTATAACTTCTAAACATCTTTTGCTTGATGAAGATGCCAGTTCAGCTTTGAAAAATGATACGTTTTGCGCATTTTGATTGGCCATGTAAGGTAACACTCTTTTGTGGGTTTTGTTGTAGTGGACACTCCATAAGCCTAGAAGGTATGATGCTGAGACATCAAGCAAACACTACTTCCTTCCCAAATCACAAGAAGGAAACAAATGTCTCCTGAAATGACCCCTAACTGCACCCAGCACCGGAGTTGACAACAAACCCCAAAGTTTAATGCTACAATGTGAGAATATCTCAGAAAATAAGAAATTGGAGGCTTTAGTCTTTCTCCTTCCCATAACCAGAAAACACTGAGCAGCATGATAAGGATCCTATGCTCTTTGGAGCTGACTGAGCAGGAGTATTCAAACAGCAACATACAACATTTTGCAAACAGTTAATTGTTAAAAGTTATTTCCCTTGAAGTAAAGACCAGAAAGTAGGACTTCTAGTTCCACATGCCTCATCCTTCCCTGTACTTTTATTTCTCTTTGAGTTCTGCCTCACATTTGTGCAAAAACGAACAGCATAAGAACAGCAGAGACACACAAAATGTTTAATTTGGATTTAAAATAAGAAACAAGTGTCCACATCCCCACCTCCACTTCATAACAAATCAGAAGTTCTACCTATTCTCTTATCCTTTTTATTCATAAGGAGTTGATGAAAGCGCTCTTTCAGTTTGTTGTATTCCCTTTCTTTCCGCTTCATATCATGATTGTACTGGGTCGCTCGGCTTGCAACAATATTCTGCAATTTCTGCACCTAGAATACACACATATATATTTAAAAATTGGTATTAACATTCTTATTATGGATATAAGTACGGATATAAGAAACTCTTGAATGCATATACAGTAGAGTCTCGCTTATCCAACCTTCGCTCATCCAACTTCCTATATTATCCGACGCAGTCTGCCTCCTGCACGGATCCACAGCTGTTTCAATACATTGCAATGGTTTTGTGCTAATTTCATAAATACAGTAATTACTACAGAACGTTACCATGTATTGAACTACTTTTTCTGTCAATTTGTTGTAAAACATGATGTTTTGGTTCTTAATTTGTAAAATCATAACGCAATTTGACATTTGATAAGCTTTTCCTTAATCCCTCCTTATTATTCAACTTTTTTGCTTATCCAACGTTCTGCCGGCCTGTTTATGTTGGATAAACAAGACTTTAATGTATTCCAAGAACTTCAAATAATTACCCTATGCAGAAATCTATATACAATGAAAAACCAGGATGGCATTATTTTTCAGAAGGGCATGATTAAGGATCTTTTCCATGATTACTCTTCAAAACAAATACATTGCGTTTAAAAAAAATGTCAGCACTGAATCAGTAGTTGCAGAAGGAAAGAGTCAGTTATTGTGAATGCCACATGAAGTATCATAAAAATGTTGCTTTATGATCATACAGGACTGCTGCAAGCACAAGTTTCAGCCACCCCTCATTTAGTGGTGTTCCTGTGAAATTAAAGACTAGGAGTACTTACTTACAAAACCCACCCAGTCTATCAAAGCTCATCAGTACCAAGCAACTGAATGACTAACCTCGTCTTTCTCATTTTTAAGTAACTGGTGCAGATTCCTGTTTTTGCATTGCAGCTGCCTATCCCTTTCCTGGAGCCCAACGATTTCTCTTCTTGATGTTTCCAGCTGCTCCTGTTACAAAAAAACAAAAAAGAAATAATATCCATAATTCACTCTTAATACATGCTAGAAAAATCTAACACATATTCTCTATTAGTGAACCACTGCAGTTACTGTTTTCAGACACAGAAATCATACATATTTGTGACTGAATAAGAGGCTGAATCTTATATCACTAGAATATTAACATGACAAGTTTCCTCATGCATGAGTTGAATAAAATATGAACTGCAATACAATTTCTATCTCCTTTTCTCTTTTAAAACAGCCACAAAATCTGTTTCCTACCATTAGACTCAGAATGGGCAGGGATGAAACCTAGAACATCCCGAGAAGAATATATCCTTCCTCCATTTGTTGGTCCCTTAAGGAGAACCATATATAGAGTCTCAATAGCACTGCATTAGTGCAGTTCTGTTGTACACTCAAGACAAAATAATTTTCTGTTTTCAAGACTTCACGGCCTGGGCAGAAGTAGAATGATGCATCATTGGTGAAGCCAGAGTGTGTTTCATGTAGAGGATTCGCAGAACTGTTGCTGCATTTCGAAGAGACTTTTGTGTACCTATCATAATGCTTCCATAAATGAAAGCAAGTGCAAGTACTAGGAAGGCACAAAGAATAAAAATGGCAGAGAAACCTCATCTCACAAGTGATTATCTGAAAAGTTATTTTAGATTTAAAGAAATGCTTTTTGTTTTTCATTTCATCAAATCATGAAGTTGAAAGATACTTCAGAGGCCATTTAGATCCCGTCTACACTTCCTTATATTCAGGATCTGATCCCAGATTATCTGCTTATCCGAAATTATCTGGCAGTGTAGACTCATATAATCCAGATCCTGGGGTATAAGGACAGTGTAGAAGCGGGTCCCATTCCAACCCCCTGCCAGGCATAAACTAAAATCAAAGCACTCCCATCCAGTCTCTGCTTAAAAACCTCCAAAGAATGAGGCCCCTTCTACACAGTCCTTATATCCCAGGATCTGATTCCAGGTTATCTGCTTTGAGCTGGATTATATGAGTCTCCATTGCCATATAATCTGGAATAAGCAGATAATATGAGATCAGATCCTGGAATATAGGGACAGCGTAGAAGGGGCCTGAGACTCCACCATACTCCAGGGCAATTTAATTTGGTATAAGATAAATTATTGACTTCTAGTGTGGCTCATAGGGAAGCTAAATGGTCTGCCAATTATAAGAGCTGGTTTTTTCCTCAACCAAGGTGTGCTGGCATAAAAATATATATCCGAAACAAGTTAGCTGATGTATCAGTAGATGAGAATAAGTCCAATAATAAAATAAAAGTATATGTTTTAATAGTTTTGTAAGGATTTTATAATCTTGTTTTAAATGTTTTTAATTGTAGATTGTGGACTTTTATGGCACTGAATTGCTGCCAACTTGTAAGCTGCCTTGAGTCGCTTTTGGGCTGAGAAAGGAGGGACAGAAATATCACAAATAAATAAATAAATAAATATTTTAGAAAATATACTCTGAATCTGAACAGTTCTGTACAGTATATCAAAATCATCTTTGGAGTTCCTCAGCTGCCACTGGTAGGTTGACTATAGAAACTGTTTTAGAAATTGCATGTTCTGTGTTAGCATTAACTTGCTAAATAATTGCAACCATTTGGTTAATTGACATTAACCATTAAGGAAACTTTTAAAAACCAATTCTGTTTGAGATTTTAATTAATGTAAATTAATGCAGACAAATTAATTTTGACAATTTCCAAACTCTGTATTTCTCCCAGGTCTGGCACATAAAAGAGTATCAAAATATTATATGCTTCTTCAAGTGAGTCCTTAATCAGTTTCATTTGCTTGTCATGTATAGACAAAATCAACCCTATATTCTCATATAGCTACCCCAATGCTCACCACCAGGGGGCTCTATGAATTGCTGCAGCCTGACACCAGAGTAGAAGACCATTTATTTGCCCATAATGTGCTTCTGTGGCCCCTTCCACACAGCTGAATAAAATCCCACATTTTCTGCTTTGAACTGGGATATATGGCAGTGTGCACTCAGATAACCCAGTTCAAAGAAGATATTGTGGGATTTTCTGCCTTGGTATTCTGGGTTGTATGGCTGTGTGGAGGAAACACGTAAAATCTAGGATGAAATTGTCCCTGAATGAAAGCGTTCCTTGGGTGGTGGGCAGTATGGTGTTTGGGGAGGACATTGGCAGAGGTTGGGATACATGTTCATGGTGCTCGCTATAACCGGAAATGTCATTGGAAGGAGGGCTTTTGGTGACTCCTCATCACTGTGGGTTAAAGCTGCTTGTGGAAGTGGGCAGCCCAGCCACATACACACATACATATTTTATTATATATATAAGTAGGAATGCCATAAAATAAGGCATTTTACCTTTAATTTAGTGTAGCAGTTCTGCAGGTGGTCCATATCACTACCCAGTTTCAAGTGCTGAGTTTCTGTTTCTTCCTGAGCACGCAGAGTTTTACGGTGAAGCAGAAGCAGGTCATTCATACAGTTCAGGACTGATACTACACATAATTCTTTACCTTTGGGGTCAGCATAAAGCGAAGGGAAGCCAAGTGTGGTCATCTCCTATGACAACGGAGGGAAAAGTTTTAAACAAATCTCCACCCTGATTCACAACAGTATTAAATCTCAGCACTCTATAGGGAGTGACGCTGGACTAGTTTCAGAAAACTGCATTTATATAAAAATGATAAGTATATCTCCACAAGAAATTGATTTACCCTGTTAAGATAAGAGAGGCTCTGCTCAACATTCTCTTCTGTGCAGAAGGCACTGAAAAAGCTGTGTGCACTTTTGGACAAAGGCAGTGGAGAGTATAACACTCGCTGCAAACTTAAACTTGATGGGGACATGGTTTTGGTTGAGGTATACCAAGAAGTTGTATTATCTGGAGGAGAAAAAGCAAGATATTCCAGAATAAGTCAGAAATAAGAGCCGCACACACAGAAAAATAAACATTATGCTAGAGAAGATGGTTATAGACTACCACAAACACTCGTTTGTAAGTTGGAAGTTTTTGAACAGAAAATCAACACAAAATATCTAGGTCCATTTATCCATGGGTCAATGTAACCTGGTGTTTCGCTGCTGGGGCAGGAAGATTACATGGGGTTGGGAAAACCTGAACAAAGCCTCCTCTCCAGCCTTCTCTTCACAGCAGTGGTTATTTGGTGCTTTACCACTGTGATGTAGATATTACTGGGGGTTGGGAGTACGTGGAAATCCTGCCGCCCTCCATTCTGCCCTTCACAGCAACTCTTTGGCACTTCTCCCCAATACATGGAAGATAGAAGGGATCAGGAGAACCTGAAAAAAACCCTGATTCCTTCCAATCTTCTATTCACGTTGGGAGCTCTTTGGTAGTATACGCACTATTTTTTATTTTTTTACTATATTTATACCCTGTCCTTCCCACCCCAAAGGAGACTCGGGGCCCTTTCACACAGACATATAACCCAGAATATCAAGGCAAAAAACTGGGTTATTTGAGTCCACATGGCCGTTTATTCCAATTCAAAGCAGATAATGTGGGATTTTATTCAGCTGTGTGGAAGGGGCCTCAGAACGGCTTACAAGTAGGCAACAATTCAATGCTGCATAAACAGACAACAAATAAAATACATAAACATTAAAACCAAAAACTATTAAAATCACACAGTCCAAAATCATAGTCCAGGAGCCATTCCAGCCGTAATTGCACTTATTCCATATCCACTTATTGCAAAGGTTTGGTCACACAGCCACGTCTGAAAATTCTTTCTAAAGGTCAGGAGGGAGGGAGCGGATCTGACTTTTCTGGGAAGGGAGTTCCACAGCCAAGGGGGTACCACTGAGAAGGCTCTGTTTCTTGTCACCACCAGCCACACCTGTGAAAGAGGTGGGACCGAGAGCAAGGCCTCCCCAGAAGATCTTAACCTAGAGAGGGAGGTTAGAAGAAGATTGGTAGAACCTGAAAAAGGTCCTGATCCGCTTCACTTTTCAATGTGCAGTGGTAGCTGTTTGGTACTTTCTCGGTTCAGGAAGAGTAAAGGGGGTCAGGAAAAAAAATGGAAAAAAGATCCCAAACTCCTCCCTTCTCCTCTTTCTGGCAGCAGCTCTTTCTGGCAGCAGCTCAAGATTAGTAGGGGTCGAAAAACTTGGAAAAAGTCCTGCCCCCTCCATTCACCTCACTGTAATGTCACTTCTGGCCCGAGTAGGAAAATGGGGGCAGCAGCAAGCAGCTTCCCTTTGCTATGCGCTTACCTACCTCAAGAACAATTCTTCAAGGCTACAGAAGCAATAAGGAGAACGTATCGCCCAACTCCTTTTCCATTGTAGGGTGCATCAAGATCCCTTCCTGTCCATTGGTCTCTCCTTCTCACCTCATTCATTTCTATTTGGATCCTTCCCTTCACCTACCCTGCTACATTAGTCCATCCCGAGAGAAGCTACAAAACTACTGACCGCTTCAACTCTTCCTCCTGCAGTGTCAAATTTAATTTAAGAGGTAATACTGCACCCTAACCAGTATAGTGGCGGAGGCCTTTTTGTCTTCATTTATTATTTCCATTACTTCTGCAAAATGAATTCTGAAAAAAAATATTTGTTATTTATTTATTTTATTTTTTACTGTATTTATATAGTGCCTTTCTATGGGGGGACACAAGGCAGTTTACAACATAGTAATGGCAAATATTCAGTGCCAACATACAAGTACACAAAAATCATAATAACTAATTACTACATATAACTATGAACTTAAAATCAATTAAAACCATTAAACATAATGTTTTTTTCCACTGACTTATCCGCAGGTCATATCAACATCTATAATTTTGGCCATAAAACCTGTTCTCAATTTAAACACAAGTTTGATTTATACACAAGTATATATTGTAAGTAGTTACTACTAAGGGCCCTTCCACTCAGCCCTATATCCCAGAATATCAAGGCAGAAAATCCCACAATATATGCTTTGAACTGAGTTATCTGAGTCCACATTCAGATAATGTGGGATTTTCTGCCTTGATATTTTGGGACATAGGGCTGTGTGGATGGGCTCTAAGTGTTGAAATTGCATAGATCAAGAAAAATGACTACACACTGAACCCTATTTTTCAGAACTTTCCAATTACAAATTACTATCAACTACAATATCAGATTAAGAATAAAGTAAGTACATTCCTCCTTACATGTGCTTAATACAAGAGAAAAAAATTATTTTAGGCAGCTGGGTCATTTCTCTGAACTTTCTTTTCCTAAGCAATATATTTACCACTGATTGTTACACGAATGTTCACGGCTACATACAAAGGGCTTATGACAACGGTATACAACAAAGATTGTAAAGAAAAGTGTATTGCAAGACTTGCTCCTGTTAAAGATTAAGTTAGCTGTGTTATTAAACAGATGTCTAATCTCCTTGCCTAGGAACTGCTGAGATGTGTTATCATTATAATTCGCTCCCCTACATTAAGCATGGCCAGATTTCACATTCTGGCTTGAATGACTTACCTGACAACGGTGCTGGCACTGTGATAGTGTTCCAATCTCCCATAGCAGCTAACACATCCAGAGTACCTGATCAACGGCTTCGCCAGGGCAGCATTATGACCAGGGAGACATAAATCTCCTACGTAAGCATCTCCTAAAATAGCAAGAACGTTTTGGATTAACGAGTGTATTTAAATCAAGACATTCTGCTCAGTTAAGGCCATGTTAAGGATTTACAGATTCATGAGATGAGACAAATGTTTACAAATGTGTGAAACAGGAGGATATTTTAGTATAAAACGGTTAAGTAAATTACAGACAAGGATGCTTACACTTTTATAAGGAGATTGCCCGAGGGGGACAGGATTTATTCAATCAACTAACCTCTATATAGCAAGAAGCCTACTAAAGGCAGTATAAAGGCTTTATATATGTTGTAACCAATACCTGCAATTCATAGGGTTTTCCCAGGATCAACACAGTGAGAAAAGAAACAATTTTCAGGTGTCATAAAAGGAAAAGGGACAATGCTATCAATAATCTACCCTTTCAAAGAAATGAAGAGTTCAGCAATACATATACACAAGAAAAACATTGCGGAAATCTTCAAAAGTAATCCCCATTGCTGACTCCTGGCCATCAATATAGTTCATCCTTAGTACCCACAGAACTGGCACCCATGATTTCACTTATCCACCTCTAGGATGTCTTCCCTAATAATTTTCTACATTCTTCAGGCAATTCTATGGCATGCTTTCACTGGAAGTTACCATACAGTTATCCTAAGGCGGTTCCAGACAGCACCAAATTGCATGTTTTAGTCCGCGGCAAAAAATCCCAGAGAAAACGTTCACATACAGACATGTTGCTACTGGGATTTCTTCCTCTGTCATCCACACTTGCTGCTTTGTCGCAGGATTTTGCAACTTCCAAGATGGCCACTGCAGGACTTCCACCAGAAATTCCAGCATTTAAAAAAACCCAAAAACTTAAGGTGTGAACATGCAAATCATTATATAAGTTCTGTTCCTAAGCTGCTGGGCCATCTGTGCAGATAGGTTGTTATTCCTGAGTTATATATGTTTGTTCCTGATTGCTCTTATTGTGAAAAGATGTACAACGTTGACTAGGGGGTCACAACAGTGTCCTGGCCAGACATAATGTGCCCTCCACACGTTTCATGAAGTTTCTGGCACCAAACAAAGTTTTCGCCTTCTACTCAACTGTCACTTTGTTTTTAGAAACTGACCAATCAGGAACAGACATCTAGAACCCAGGAACAAACCCAGATTTAAAATCTCATGATTTCCAAGTGAAGACATATAGATATTTGGAAGATGCGGATTTTCGGCTCAGAACTGGCATATTCCTGCGCCCCAAAATCTCTCTCTCTCTCTCTCTCTCTTTTTAGCTGTTTGTAGCGAATGCTTCCACATTTACAGGGAACAGTGTTCAGTCACCCTTCTGTTTGCTGCGAGATCTCCTGGGATAAAAGTACGGTCTGGATGGGCCCCTAGAGGACCTAGCAAAATCCTACAGAGCATACCTTTCTAGAAATTTTCTAGGTCCTCCATGGTGATTTGATGCTAACTGCTGGTGGAAGTTTTTCATTTTAACAGGGCTTGCTATTATCCATGGTTCCTTGTTTCCATGGTAAATTAAAAATATATCTCCTGTGGATATGAATCGTACTGTACTACAAAGCTGATACAGAATTATCATCATCATCATCATCTTGATCCATTGTTGATGTTCTTGCATCAATTTCATGAACTAGCAGTTTCATAAACATAGAAGAGGCAATATTAGAGCCTGATCCACGTGGGATTAATATTCAGGCTTTTTTCCAGCTTGAAGAACTACAATTCACACAATGCCCCTTACCTCTTGGAACAGTGTCAGATCTTTACTCAGGATAAAACTAACACATTTTAATCCATGACTTTTAAAATAACCCAGGTCTTTCTTTACCACATGTGTGTGAGAGATAGTGTATGTGTAGGCATCTCTCTCTATATATATATGTGTGTGTGTGTGTGTGTGTGTGCGCGCGCGTGTGTGCGTGCGTGTCCTTAATCTTAAATATCAGGTTTATATTTTTTCTTCTTTGTATGCTTTTTGCTTTCACACATTCACATAGTTCCCTGCTTATTTCCATGCATTTAAAGGGGCTACACATTAATTCCTCTTAATAAGGAGAAATAGTGCCCAATGTTGCCTTTAACAGAAGAAGCAAGGATCGGGTGTAGCTTGAACTAAAAAAAAAAAAAAAAAAGAGGATTCTGTAAAATGCTGTGCTAAAGCAACATCTATGAGAAAACATACAATCTGTGTGTGTAGTGAAACTTCAGGCTTCTTTTGCTGACAGCTTTTGAGTGGCACTGCATATAACCTAACAGGGCCATAGGACAAATTCCGATTTCTATATGCTTTCGAGTGTCTGAAATGATTGGGATGACTGGGGGAAATGGCAAGAGACACATGGCATTTACAAATCAATGGGTGAGGTATAATCACACGCAGCAATCAAGAAAAGCGGTATCAACCCACTGGGCATGATGCTGTGCTTATGCAAATGTGCTCATACAACTTCTCTCTCTTCTCTCTCTCTCTCTATTTATACACACACACACACACAGGCAGAATTCAATCTCTCTGGAATAAAAACAAGCCTGTGTGCATTTATCTCCATCCCAATCCTTTCCTAGGTACATTTGGTGAGAACATGGGAGAGGACCTTCCCTGTGGCTCATACAATGGCCAGCTATGTCTTAAGAAAGGACAGTACAGAGAGCCCTTCACATTTGCAGGTTCAATTTTTGCAGATTTGATTATTTGCAGATATGATTAATATGTTCTCTCTAGGAATCTCTAAGTCCTACGAGGAGACTTAATGGCCCTTCTCAAAGAAGGTGACACTGGAAAACCTAGAAATTATTCCTAGAGTGAAAACACTTCTAGATTTCTAGGTCGGCTGATTGAAATTAACTATTTTTCCTGTCAAATAGGAAAAAAGAGACTTTCCCTCCATGTTTTTTCCACACTTGCGCTAAGTCCTGCACTCTTAACTTCCACTATAGCTGAGAGCTGATTGTCCTGCAAGTTGAATCTTTTATTCCTTAACAGAAAGCAAACTTTTAAATTAAATATTACCAGCAAACATCCATCCTAAATTAAACATTGCCTGCACTGTATTTTACTTCGCCACCTCTGTTTAGCACTTTTTAAATGACATGCAGGACTTTATTGCTCCACCATTGCTGTCTCACGCTTTTCGGATTAATGCCTGGACTGTTCTTCTCAGAAATAAGAGTTTCGGAGGGTGAACACAGATCAGCTTAGGGTGGGATTTAGACTAAGTGGGCTGTGCATTTCATTTCCATAGATTTAAAACAATGAGGCTCTCAAAAATTTGGCACAGTGTAGGACTACCAGCTTGTTCAACGGCCACCATACATCATACGATGTTATAATTTATTTAGACTTGACAAAGGGGTTTTTAAGACCCTATTTTAAAGCAAGCAACAAGCTAGTTCAGAATTAAGTGGCAGAAGATAAATAGGCTTCTACAGCATGACAGTGCAATCACATTAGGCCATCTGGCCTTTCAATTTATCACATGCTGCGTCACCAATTTGAGGCATGTCCACGTTCTTACACATACCAAGCCCTTTTCACAGGGGCATCATATACCGCTCTGAAATACTAAGCAGAATTCAGTCAATGTGGTTTCAAACAGTGCTAACTGCATCTAGAAACTTTATTCCAAACTTTTTTTCTCATCACAACTACAGTATAACTAGAAAAGGCTTGGGGAATCGTGTTCCAAGATTAGGTAGTGGAGGGTGTTTATAAAAGCTTAAGCCATTCATTTGGCAAAGTAATCCCCTTCACAGACAGCTATGCTATCCGGATGAAACAAAACCCATTTTGAAAAGAGTGGTTTAAGAAGCTGCAGGAGGCAATTATGAAACTCTGCAGACTTTACAAAAATCTTAACAAATTTTTAATTTTTTCTCCTATTCATACTTTCCCTTAATCTGATGCTTTGGGAACAATGAATACTAAAGGGATGATGGACTGAGAATAAACAATTTTACATGTCTCTTGGGTAATCATTGATTAAACCCTTGTTCCAGCAGGACTGCTGACCGAAAGGTTGGCAGTTCGAATCCGGGGAGCAGAGTGAGCTCCCGTCTGTCCGCTCCAGCTCCCCATGTGCGGACATGAGAGAAGCCTCCCACAAGGATGGTAAAACATCCAGGTGTCCCCTGGGAAACATCCTTGCAGACAGCCAATTCTCTCACACCAGAAGTGACTCGCAGTTTCTCAAGTTGCTCCTGACACACACACAAAACCTATTCCTGGCATGAGTCAGCATGCAGCATTGATAAAGATCTGTAAAACCCTTTTAAACAGATGAGACTATTAAAAATAAACTTAGAAAGCATGACAGTCATTTACATTGATTTTTCCCAAATGTCGCTAAATATTTTTTCCCACTGAGCTAACTAACAAAGCAAGAAATGTTGTCGCATATCTGAATGAACAAAGACAAATGGTTTTGAATCTCTTGTACCATAAGGGCAGGTAGCTTTCTGAGCAAAACAGATCATTTCAAGTGAGATTGGACAGCCTTAAGCCTCAAAACTGTAAACAGACTAGAAAATCCAGTGCATGCCTTTTTCTGATGGCTTTAAGGAATCTGGCAACGAGTATGCATGTTGGAACCTGCAAGGATTATACTCTGCAAAATGAGTAAGTTGAGATAGAAAACAACTGGCATGGCATGGATCCCTATGAAACATAAGCAAATCAAATATACTTCAGCATCAGTTTCCAGAGGTATAGCCCAACTGCATTTGTTTCAGGGGAAAAAGTTTTCTGGCACCTCCAAGACTTACGTATTTTATTTGAGCTTCACTCTGAAATCTTATGCCGAATAAAACATGCCAAGTCTTGCAAGTGCCAACAAATCTATATGTTACCAATTTCAATACGGAATGAACTGGGGGGGGGGGGTATTTTTATACGATCAAGCAGACTAGTGAGCAGTCCAGATTATCTGGGAAGCTGATAGATGGAAACAGGGTTAATGTTGTTCCATAAAGTCGWATGAAATGTGGTTTACTGTCTCACATTCACAAATACAGTGCCTTTAGTATGTGTTGCAGATTGATTCCAGGATACAAAACTCCATGGACACAAACCCCATAATATACAGCGACATAATAAAAGCATGTGGGCAATTTCAACAGAAAGGAAGAAACCATGAAAATGAACAAAATCTGGCTACCAGTATTTTTTTTAAAAAAACTATAAAAATCAGGACAGTAAATAAAGAGCAACACTAAAACAAAAAAACAAAACAAAAAACAAAACAAAAACAAAAAACAGGGGAATTCCAAACAGGAAACCATGAGGGCTAGTGATCACCTCCCAATAAATAATCCCCCAGGCAGCAACCAGCTAGGGTTTGAAGCTACAAGGCCATTCAATGCTAATCAAGGTGGCCAATTGCAACATTCACACTTGCCTCAAACAGACTAGAGTTCTTTCTCCCATCCTGGAGATTCCAGATATATAACCCCCACTTGCCTAGTTTCCAACAGACCTCACAACCTCTGAGGATGCCTGCCACAGATGTAGGCAAAACTTCAGGAAAGAATGCTTCTGGAACATGGCCATACAGCCCAGAAAACTCACAGCAACCCAGTGATTCCGGCCATGAAAGCCTTTGACAACATAATAAAATTGTATCCTGTAAATCAGTGCTCCCCAGTCTTCTTTTTTTGACCAGGGACCGCTTGAGCAGCGACCACTTGACCAGGGACCACTCTCCAACGTTAGTACCAAAAGGGTTACGAATCAGTTTTTCTTCAACTTTAGATTTGGTTTGGTTATTGGGGGTGCTGATTCAGAAAATTGCACTGGATAGACCACATCAGCTCTAGTTTTTGATGCAGAACATATGTCATCCAGTACTCACCATCTGCTCACCCACAGAAAACCGTATTTAATAATCTAGAATGGATGTGGTCTATTCAATGCAATTTTCTGAATCAACACCCCCAATAACTCCAGGAACTGACCTAAAAACGAAAACACGAAGAAAAAAATTGTTTTTGGTTGGGCTGTGTTATTACCCATGGATTTTGTTAATGCTCAGCACTATATGAGGGTTTTGCAAGACCAGTCGCTCTTGTTGCAACGGTGTAGTAACAGTAAAGCCGCGGACCATATTTTAATTCTTGTGGACCACTGGTGGTCCACGGACCACAGGTGGTCCACGGACCACAGGTGGTCCACGGACCACAGGTGAAGAACCACTGCTCTAAATTAAATCACAAAATCAAAGTTTTGCTTTCTGGATTATTTTCTGAATATTTACAAGGCATGGACAGTTGAATCTGTGGATACAAAATCCATGGATATAGAGGGCTGACTATATATACACTCATAAATGCAACAGACTGCAAGTAAAATGTGCAAGCAACACAGGGCTTTATTTCCGCACATTGCCTAGACTGCTGTCCGCCCGGTGCCTTTTCACACTCCACCAACCAGCAGGTTCCTAACGCTTGCAGACAGCTCTGTTTTTAGAATGCCTTTTTCACCTCCCAATCAATGGCCTGCAACCCTTCCCATGCCCAGAATGCCTGCCACCCTCTCTAGCATTTATAACCTCCCTTTTGAGAAGCTCTTTCACATTCTGCCCCTCAATATAAACATATGGATTGTTACAAAAGTTGAAAATCAGGGGAAGCAAGAAACGTCAAGGGAGTCTGCAATTTGCAAAACCTAGAGGTCACTCATTCATATGTCTATGTGACGGCAGTTAACAAAACAATGCATAGGTTTAAGGTTGCTGTAAGTCAGACTTGACAGCAATTAACAAAAAGATGATAAAGATGAAGATTTTGGGAAACCAAGGGTATATCTGCACTCTACATTTAATGAAGTTTGACACCACTTTAACTACAATGGCTCAATACTATCAAAACCTGGGAATTGTAGTTTACAAGGCCTTTCACTGCTGAAAAGTGCTTTGTATCAAACTCCAATTCCCAGTATTCTATAGCACTGAGACATGGAAGTTCAAGTGGTGTCACACTGGGTGAGTTCTACAGTGTGCAAATGCAGCACAAGGAAGATCAAGAAGTTTTGCAAGACTTGAGCCAGGTGACTTGGGGTGCATCGACACTGGAGCATCAATCCAGTTTGACACCACTTGAACTGCCAGGGCTCTGGGCAATAGAGTCACAGGAGTCAGCGCTTTGCAAAGTCTTTGGCCTTCTCTGCCAAAGAGTGCTGTTGCCTTGCCAAATTACAACTCGCAGGATCTCATACTATTGAGCAATCAAAGTGGTGTCAAGCTGCATTCATTCTATAGCATGTAGATGCACCTTGAAAGATCCCTCACACTGTCAGCAAACACAGAGGTGCATCTACACCAGGCATAGACAAACTTCGGCCCTCCAGGTGTTTGGACTTCAACACCCACAATTCCTAACAGCCTACCGCAATGGTTCTCAACTTGTGGCTACTTCACCTGGCTACTTCATCACACTAGAGAATGAATCCACTTTAAATCCGGTTTCTGCCTGCCGCAGAATTTTGGGGTTTGTAGTTTAGTGAGGCTGTTAAAGGCTCCTCCCTAAACTACAAACCCCAGAATTCTACAGGAGGCAGAAAACAGATTTAAAGTGGATTCATTCTCTAGTGTGATGAAGTAGTTGGAAGGCCGAAGTTTGCCCAAGTCTGATCTGTACTGTAGAATGAATGCTGTTCCACACCACTTTGACTGCTCAACAGCATAGAGTCCTGGGAGTTGTAGTTGGGTGAGACACCGACACATTTTGGTAGAGAAGGAGAGGGATCTTGTGGAACTACATCTCCCGTGATTCCATAGAAGTGATCCATGGCAGTTCAATAGGGTGTAGTTTGACACCCTATTGAACTGCCATGGCTCACTTCTATGGAATCATGGGGGTGCTGGTGTCTCACTTAACTACAACTCCCAGGATTCCACACTGTTGAGCAATCACAGTAGTGTCGAACTGCATTAATTCTACAGTGTAGATCAGACATGGGCAGACTTTGGCCCTCCAGGTGTTTTGGACTTCAACTCCCACAATTCCTAACAGCCTACCGGTTGTTAGGAATTGTGGGAGTTGAAGTCCAAAACACCTGGAGGGCCAAAGTCTGCCTGTGCCTGGTGTAGATGCACCTCTTTGTCTACCGCCAGTGTGTTTCCTAAATATTCAGCTTTCATAACGATGCATGATTTTTTTTTTTGTGAAGTGCTGCTTTTGTCAAACTGCATGGATTCTACAATGCAGGGCCCTCCTTGGGACTGAGGGGGATTATAAGGTAGTGAAATTTCCCCGCCTAAGGCCCCTCCACTCAACTCTATATCCCAGAATATCAAGGAAGAAATCCCACATTATCTGAGTGTGGACTCAGGGCCCTTCCACACAGTCCTATATCCCAGAGTATCAAGGCAGGAAATCCCACATTACCTGAATGTGGACTCAGATAACCCAGTTCAAAGCAGATAATGTGGAATTTCCAGCCTTGATATTCTGGGATATAGGGCTGTGTGGAAGGGCCCAAAGAGTGCAGGTGCCTCACCGAACTGCACCTCCCAGGCTTCCACAGCATGACAGCTAAAGTGCATTCATTCTACAATGTAGACACACCAGCACACTCCTGACCCAGACTGTGTACGTGAGAACGCACCTGGCTGTCTGGGATGTCACCCCCATGCAATGCCCCCTCTCCTACAGAAGTGTCCATCTCCTCCTCCTTTGCCCCCCTCCCAACCACCCACTGACTCGCATGCCAATGCCTCCCATTTCCCACGTGCTTCCTCCCCTCCTCTGCCCCTTTTTGCCCCAGAATAGCCAAGATCAAGTCCAGACCTGCTCCTGGGAAGCCGGGTGGGGGAGGGGACAGGGCACCCAGCCTCCCACCTGCTGCGGGAGGAAAGGAGGGGCGCCCCAACCTCTGCTGCCCAAAGCTCCGCTGCCTCTCTGCTTGCCTGCTTCCCTCCCTCCTACGCGCGCGCACACGCACGCACGCGCGTGCCCCGCTGCACCGCCGATCCCAGCAGCGCCCGCCTTCCAATCCCCCCTCCGCGCCCCGACACTCCGCGCCCCCATTGGCCGCAGCGTTGCTAGGAGACCTTTCAACAAAGGGCCTGGCAGGCGCGCCAGCTGCTTGGCCGCCTCTCCCCTCCTCCTTCACCTGTTGCAGCCATGCTCCCCCCCCCTCCTCTCCTGCAGAATTAATACCGTTTGACACCCCATTAAACTGCCATGGCTCAATGGGATAAGACCATGGGAGTTGTAGTTTGGTGAGGCACCACCACTCTTTGGCAGAGAAGGCTAATCCAGACCTTGTGAAACTACATCTCCCATGGTTCCGTGGCACTGAGCGATAGCAGTTACAGCAGGCACGGGCAAACTTTGGCCCTCCAGGTGTTTTGGACTTCAACTCCCACAATTCCTAACAGCCTGTTCGGAGCATGCAAAGAATAAGTGAGAGTTTGTATGTGCATCAAATAAAATAAGATGCATGAAGCTGATTGGCCAGGCAATGCCCTGAGAGATGGCTGAGCCTGGGACTTTTGGTTACTGTTACGTTTTTGTTCAAGCTTGAAGAGAAGCGGAAAGGGACAGAGTTTGGAGTGTACTTAATGAGCTGCTAAAGGAGCTTATCCAAATGGACATAGAAATACTATTTTAAACCTCTCATAAAAGGAAATTATGCGAGTTAGTACAACAGATCACATTGTACATATGTCGTTCTAAGAAGAGTAAACTACTTGTTCTTTATTGGTCACCTGCATGGCATATTTTCTTACTCTGGCAAGGCAATATGTGGGTTGATCAAACGTGAACTACACGTGATTTATTTTACATTAGTAAAGGTAAAGGTAAAGGCTTTCCCCTGACATTAAGTCCACTCGTGTCCGACTCTGGGGTTTGTTGTTCATCTCCATTTCTAAGCCAAAGAGCTGGCGTTGTCCGTAGCCACCTCCAAGGTCATGTGGCCAGCATAACTGCATAGAGCGCCCTTATCTTCTGCCCGAGCGGTACCTATTGATCTACTCACATTTGCATGTTTTCAAACTGCTAGGTTGGCAGAAGCTGGGGCTGACAGTGGGAGCTCACGCTGCTCCCCAGATTCGAACCTGTGACCTTTCAATCAACAAGTTCAGCAGCTCAGTGCTTTAAACCACTGCGCCAACGGGACTCCTTTATATTATTTTATTTTACATTACAACACAGAAAATACCTGGGGGGCCAAATTTTACCCATGCCTGAGTTACAGAGATTTCAAACTGCATTGATTGTACAATGTGGATGCACCCAGGGGAGGAGGATATACCAAATCTGGTGGTACCTTAAAACATTTCATATTATTCTCCAGTTTTGCTCCTCCCTGTAGTTAGGACTTCAGCTCTCAGAGTTTCCTGCTATCAGCCAGACTGACTGGGGCTTCTGGGGGTTGAAGTCCAGAATATCTTGGAGTAAAGGTTAGAAAGCACTGTATAAAACAGGCAAGGGCAAACTTCGGCCCCCCAGGTATTTTGGACTTCAACTCCCTCAATTCCTAACAGCCAGTAAGAAAAATGGAGTCTTGGAGGAAAATTCTGAGACTGCCTTGGACCGCAGGATGATCAAACCAGTCCATGCTCAAGGAAATAATGCCTGGCTACTCACTGGAAAGAAGGATATTACAGGCAAAGATGAAATACTTTGGCCACATAATGAGAAGACAGGAAAGTTTGGAGAAGATGTCTGCATATCTGCATGGGATGCCCTTTTACCGTCCCACCAAGGCGGTACCTATTGATCTATTCACATTGCATGCTTTTGTACTGCTAGGTTGGCAGAAGCTAGGGCTGCAGTCGGGAGCTCACTCCAACTTAAGGCTTTGTTAAGGCTTTGCTGCCAACCTTCCAGTCAGCAGATTTCCTGCAGCTAGCAGTTTAACTCACTGTGCTGCTGCGGCATGTGGGTACCTAGCTATCTTGTATAAGAAGGACAGTGGGGTCTTGTAGAACAATTGTTTTATAGTCCACCTTATATCTAGCAGTTAGCATCAGCACATGACCTGTCTGTCCAGTTAGAAATCTCAACTTCTTTCTCTTGGTCAAAAGACATGGACTTTGTTCAGTTTCCTGTTGCTTCAATAAGCACAAACAGCACCCTGTGTTGACCAGCCTAAAGAACTGGCCAATCTCAAAGCGAAGGGCTCTTTGGGGTTGGGAATTTCTGCTGTTTTCTTAACTAGGCAGGCCTAGCAAGATGTAAGTTCAGAGGTGTCAAGTTAAAGCTGTCACTCCGGATCCTAGGCAGAATTCAGAGCAACCCACAGCTTTGTTTAACATGGGTCAAGACTCTCAGTTAACCAGTGCCCATTGAGAATGGTAGATACCAGATAAATGTAGTTTTTGGTCTCTCGAGTTACTATTCAAAACAAGCCGAACTCATAAAGGTAAAGGTAAATGTTTCCCCTTGGTAGTAAGTCTAGTCGTGTCTGACTCTAAGGCGTGGTGCTCATCTCCATTTCTAAACTGAAGAGCTGATATTGTCCACAGACACCTTCAAGGTCATGTGGCCGGCATGACCACTTGGAATGTTGTTACCTTCCCGCAGAAGCGGTACCCATTGATGTACCCACATTTGCATGTTTTCAAACTGCTAGGTTGGCAGAAGCTGGGGCTAACAGGTGGAGTTCACCCCGCTCTGCAGATTTGAACCACCAACCTTTCAGTCAGCAAGTTCAACAGCTCAGTAATTTAACCCGCTGCACCACCAGGAGCTCATACTATACATTTTGTATTGACTTGATATTAATATTGAAAGTAAAACATAATGTAACACGGTTTTACTGGATTATATATGTATTTTAATTTTGACAATTTTTTTCAATTTTTTTGCCAGTTGCTTGAGAGAATCTACTGTATTTGTCTTACTAATCTTTATCAGCAAACATTCTAAATCTTAGGTTTCTGGCTGTCTGACTCCATTTTACAAGCAATCAATAATAATAAAAAATAAGTCAAACAATAAATTATATCTTCTTTATAATAAGGCAGCTCTCCCCTCTTATCCTTACCAAAAGCTTTTAAAGAAACCACTGGAGTTTCTGCCAATGGTGGGATTCTCTCTAAAACAGAGAAATAGACATTCTTGCTGCAGTGCAAGGGAAATCGTGCGAGATGCACTATTTTAAGCTCTGCACTTAATAGTCTTACACACACACACATGCACACACACACATATCTCGCCTTGATTTGGACAAGTACATTAATTACCTCAATTGCTAGATACAGAAATATATCAAAGCAAAGAATAAAACTGTTTGCCAACTCTCAGATAAATAATTACAGGCTCAATAGATACATAAACATTCTCTGAACATACTCAGTTTTGCATTTCAAAGTCACTTATGCTGTAACACTGTCATGACTAGAGAAACAAAATCAAATGTATTGATTCTGCAAAATATATAAACAGACCTGTAAGTGAATTGCTTCATTTTAAGAAGCCATGGTCAAAAGGCCCCATCTAAATTGCAGTTTCAAACTGCATCATATGAAAGTGTAGACGGAGCCTGAGATTGCAAGATCTGAGCTGGGCAGTTGCTGACTGGGGATACTGATTCTGCAAAATATATAAACAGGCCTGCAAGTGAATTGCTTCATTTTAAGAAGCCATGGTCAACAGGCCCCATCTAAAATGCCGTTTCAAACTGCATCATACAACAGTGTAGATGGAGCCTGAGGTTGCAAGATCTGAGCAGGACTGTTGCTCACTGGGGATATTGGAGGTCTCCCATTCATAGGGTTACCATAAGTCATAGGCCATTTGAAGGCAAATCGCCACCACCCTAAATCTGAACTCAGGTGTCCAGCCCCAGATGTGTTTGTGTACAATAGTTGAACATAACTCTCGCTCTGAAATAAGATTTTAGAGGTTTCTACCCTGATTTTAGAGATTAAGCATCCTTTATCTGGAATGCTCAAATATTCTGAAATCCAAAGCTTTCCACATGAGTGGATGAGATAGTGAAACCTTAGCTTTCTGATGGTTCAATGTACACAACTTTATTCAAGCCCAACATCATGTTGAGTATAAATTACCTTCAGGCTATGTCTATAAGATGTATGTGAAACATAAATGAATTGCGTGTTTAGACCTGGCCTCATCTTCAAGATATCTTATTATGCACAATATATGTAAATATTGTTATTTCAAATTCTGTTCCCCCAAATCAAAACACCTCTAATCCCAAGCATTAACCTATACAAGGTTTTCCCTGACTTGTGAGGATATAAAAGGACCCAGAAGGCAAATCTTTGTTGCTGAAAGACCAGGGCACGTTTTGGCTTAAGGAAAGAGGATTACAGCATGTGTGAGGAATGTTGTATGCTGAGAATTTCTCAATCATTAAAAGGTCCGAGGAAGAAAAGAAACAGTAGGAGGTTCAGAGGGGAAATATTACTATGGCAAATTTTTAAGGTAAATTTTTACAGAGAAAGGTGCTAAGTACTTTAATTTTGCTGCCTCAAAATTAGTTTCCAAGTGCAACCAAAACTGATAAGTTTGATTTATGAAACTGTGCATGGCACATTTTATAGTACGCAAAGAAGACACTGAAATAATTGAAGATATCTTGACTCAGTCATTAATTGGAATTGAGATATAGTCAAGAAATCAGAAAAAGTAACTGTGAAGGAACTGAACAAGATCCTGACGTGTAAACACATGTCATTGAATGTTCAAGTTGGGATTGTCCATGCCATTGCATTTCCTTTTTCTATGTATGGTTGTGAAAGCTGGACATGAAGAAAGCTGATAGGAAGAAAACAATCTCATCTGAAATGTGGTACTAGAGAAGAGTTCTACAGATGCCACAAGATAAATGCTAATAAGATCAATAAATGGCTCCAACACAAAATCAAGCCTGAACTTCCCCTAGAAGCCAAGATGACTAGACTAAATACTTCATCACACTAGAGAATGAATCCACTTTAAATCTGGTTTCTGCCTCCTGCA